ATAGCTTACATCTATTCCCTGTTATTAGATAAGTACCCAATTTTTTACCATTATTATTATTATTTTTGCATACTATATCTATAACTGTTTCTTTTACAAATATACATATATAACCTGTTTCTGTTTTCATAAATGTTTCATCGCTGAGTAGTAATGGAGATTTTAGACAATTTCTGTTAGACATTTTTATTAAATCCGCGTCACAATTTTCTGTTTGATATATTAAATAATTCAGTTGATTTCTCTTACAAATTTTATAGTCTTCTACACTGAGAGAAGTTTAACGCAACATCTGCATTTTTTGAGGGACAGATATTGTACCACAATTATGTGCAGACGCAGTACTAAAATCGAACAGCAGCAGCGCCAATTGAGTACTGATTCTGACCTAACTTGTGGGACAAACGATTTAGTACAGTATCTGTCCACCGAAAAGCGCAGCTGCGATACAATTTAGAACCGATGTTGCTCGAAAGGTTAGGTACACTATCTGAACGTGTGTTTAGTACGAAATCTGTGTTTAACTTCTCTCAGTGTATATTACTACATTTTTCTAAATCTGTCTTGTCAATCGGTACGTATTCAGTTTTCGTTTGCAAAATATATTCGTGGTTTGCTAAAAACACCATAGCTTGACCATTAATTATTCGTTCTCGAATTGGTAAACTTCTTACTATTGTCATTTCTTTTTCATCTAAAATCGGAATTTTAATTATGTATACTAAGTGTTGATTTTTTATAATTGTAGTAATTTCACTAATGTCTATAATATGTTGATAGTTTCTTTCATCGCTTTCGATGTGATATTTAGTCCTAAATTCCTTTTCAAATCCATCAATTGTTTCATGCAACATTCTAGGCGTTAAAATTTTGGGGGTTTATAATTCTATGCTTCCCTAAATTAATTGAACTTATTGCTAAATCTATGTCGTCGTTTATTTCTTCTATTAACGTTTCAGCTATTAATAATTTTTGTTGAATAAACAAACTCTTTTTGTTATTATTTATTTCTGCTTTCATTTGGTTTAGTATATCATAGTCTGCTACAAGTTTATTTTCTAAGAACTTATAATCTTGAGATGATGAATCTAAGATCATTTTTATTACTTTAGTATTGTTTTTAATTGCTTCATTTAAGACCTTCTTATCATTATATAATTGATCGAATTCTTTATTAATTATATTTAAATCTGAATCGCTTAATGTGCCAAATAATATTTTTGATGCGTCTCCTATTACATTTGAAAGTCCTCTTTTAACTCTTTGTTTACCCATTATGTTATATAATAGTGATTCCTTTTTTCTTAAACGACTAAATCTAGAAGAGATAGTTTTAATTTCGTAATTTTCTTGACATTTAGTCATGCAAAGATGACTAACCTGCGTTAACACTTTTTGAATAACAACTATTCTATCTTCGGTTCTTGTAATGTTTATCATAATCATCAATTTCCATTCCTCTGAATATAAATACACTTTTCCTATTTCTTCTTTATATATATTGCCTTTTAATTCCGTTATATTATAATCAGTTTACAAATGATAGATTTTCTTAAAAGAGTTAATTAAAAGTTTTTAGTATTTTTTTAATATGTTCAATGGACGAAGCGATGATGAAACGATGTTTTAGACTTCAAGACCAGCATAGTGCCGACAAATCTTCTTTTGTTTATTCTTCTTCGTTTAGTTTTAAAAAGATTTTTTTAACCAATCATTAACTTTATTTTTCTGTGCGGCCTCTCGTCTGCTTAGTTCTTCGCGCCTCTCCTGTTCGCGTCGCCTCCTCTCCTCGCGCCGCAACTCCTCCTCGCGGCGATGCACCTCATCGCGCCGCCTCTCCTCCTCGCGCTTTTTTGAGTCTTCATAATTCTTCTTTACTTCCTCCCTTTCCTTTCTGTACCTTTCTTTGCGTAGCAAGTCCTCTTTCAGAGCCTCTCTTCTTCTCTCTTCATATTCTTTTTCCATTTTCTCCTTTTTCTCTCTGTATGTTCTTTGCTCCTCGATTTCTCTATTTCTCCTTTCTCGATCAGCATTTCTCTCCTGCTCATTTCCATTATGTTCGGTATTTCTGTACGGCTGAATTGTCCCTGAAACTTACTTCAATGTTGCTTTTGAATGTTGGTCTGGATCGTAGTACTGGAAAATCTCGAATTCTGTTTCGTATACTTGGATAACTCTCTAGATACCTCTCTGTAGACCTGGATATCTGTATCGCTGCTTGGCTAACACTCTGGATAACACTTCGTAGATATGGATATCTGGATCGCTGCTTGGTTAACACTCTGGATAACACTTCGTAGAACTGGATAACTCTCTGGATACGTCTTTGTAGATCTGGATAACTCTCTGGATATCTCTTTTGTTGATTCTCTCGTTCACTTTGAATTATCACTTTGTTTATCTGGAACTAGTTCTTGGTTCTGGATATTTAAAACTTGGATGAACTTCCAAATAATTTTAAATATTTCACCGCTGCCACCAATTATGTTTTCGCCGTAAGAAACAACTAATAATATTATTTTTGTGAGTTGGTTACTCAACTGAGAACAAACTCTACTTTATTTATTTAACAAGCAAAGTACAAAAACTTGGAGATAATCAATCCTTCCAAAGCTTCACTGAGTCTTTTTGGAAGACAATTTACTAACCGTGCTATCAGTTTGAGTAGCGACTAATTAATCTGACCACACCTGCTTATGCATTAGTTTTATAGGACTGTGCAATAGTCCCCACTCTTTACAATACACACTCATACTTCATACTGTCGACACCTCCCCCCTTTAAACTATCGATGATTTTCAAATTAACATTTATTTAAAAATTCGATGCAGGTTTCCTTCTAGGAGGTTTCGAATGTAATTCAAAATTTAATCCTGGTAGATTTTTCTCAGTAGCTACAAACTGCGTTGGACATGTGTTGTTAAAACTACGATTTGTATAACAGTTCCCAATACAATATCTTATTAAATTTAAAATACACTGTATAATTCCCGTTTTAAACATTATATAGAAGATTATAATTACAATACTTGCATATCCTATGTACTCTAAATACGTCAAAGACTTTTCTGTCCAACTCTTAAATCTTTCATGTGTCTTTAATTTATCTAGCATCGCTTCGATATCTTCCATACTAATTTTCGCTTCTTTTATTCTATCTAAATTAAGAAATCTTGGTAATTTTGGTAATTTATCATTAATTAATTTTAAGTCGTCTTTCTCAAAATCTAATTCTATTGTGATTTTATCCTCAAAGTATCTACTTATATTTTTCATCGGTTTATTAAGATCTAGCTTTATTTCATTCGTATATAGCTTACATCTATTCCCTGTTATTAGATAAGTACCCAATTTTTTACCATTATTATTATTATTTTTGCATACTATATCTATAACTGTTTCTTTTACAAATATACATATATAACCTGTTTCTGTTTTCATAAATGTTTCATCGCTGAGTAGTAATGGAGATTTTAGACAATTTCTGTTAGACATTTTTATTAAATCCGCGTCACAATTTTCTGTTTGATATATTAAATAATTCGGTTGATTTCTCTTACAAATTTTATAGTCTTCTACACTGAGAGAAGTTTAACGCAACATCTGCATTTTTTGAGGGACAGATATTGTACCACAATTATGTGCAGACGCAGTACTAAAATCGAACAGCAGCAGCGCCAATTGAGTACTGATTCTGACCTAACTTGTGGGACAAACGATTTAGTACAGTATCTGTCCACCGAAAAGCGCAGCTGCGATACTATTTAGAACCGATGTTGCTCGAAAGGTTAGGTACACTATCTGAACGTGTGTTTAGTACGAAATCTGTGTTTAACTTCTCTCAGTGTATATTACTACATTTTTCTAAATCTGTCTTGTCAATCGGTACGTATTCAGTTTTCGTTTGCAAAATATATTCGTGGTTTGCTAAAAACACCATAGCTTGACCATTAATTATTCGTTCTCGAATTGGTAAACTTCTTACTATTGTCATTTCTTTTTCATCTAAAATCGGAATTTTAATTATGTATACTAAGTGTTGATTTTTTATAATTGTAGTAATTTCACTAATGTCTATAATATGTTGATAGTTTCTTTCATCGCTTTCGATGTGATATTTAGTCCTAAATTCCTTTTCAAATCCATCAATTGTTTCATGCAACATTCTAGGCGTTAAAATTTTGGGGGTTTATAATTCTATGCTTCCCAAAATTAATTGAACTTATTGCTAAACCTATGTCGTCGTTCATTTCTTCTATTAACGTTTCAGCTATTAATAATTTTTGTTGAATAAACAAACTCTTTTTGTTATTATTTATTTCTGCTTTCATTTGGTTTAGTATATCATAGTCTGCTACAAGTTTATTTTCTAAGAACTTATAATCTTGAGATGATGAATCTAAGATCATTTTTATTACTTTAGTATTGTTTTTAATTGCTTCATTTAAGACCTTCTTATCATTATATAATTGATCGAATTCTTTATTAATTATATTTAAATCTGAATCGCTTAATGTGCCAAATAATATTTTTGATGCGTCTCCTATTACATTTGAAAGTCCTCTTTTAACTCTTTTTTTACCCATTATGTTATATAATAGTGATTCTTTTTTTCTTAAACGACTAAATCTAGAAGAGATAGTTTTAATTTCGTAATTTTCTTGACATTTAGTCATGCAAAGATGACTAACCTGCGTTAACACTTTTTGAATAACAACTATTCTATCTTCGGTTCTTGTAATGTTTATCATAATCATCAATTTCCATTCCTCTGAATATAAATACACTTTTCCTATTTCTTCTTTATATATATTGCCTTTTAATTCCGTTATATTATAATCAGTTTACAAATGATAGATTTTCTTAAAAGAGTTAATTAAAAGTTTTTAGTATTTTTTTAATATGTTCAATGGGCGAAGCGATGATGAAACGATGTTTTAGACTTCAAGACCAGCATAGTGCCGACAAATCTTCTTTTGTTTATTCTTCTTCGTTTAGTTTTAAAAAGATTTTTTTAACCAATCATTAACTTTATTTTTCTGTGCGGCCTCTCGTCTGCTTAGTTCTTCGCGCCTCTCCTGTTCGCGTCGCCTCCTCTCCTCGCGCCGCAACTCCTCCTCGCGGCGATGCACCTCATCGCGCTTTTTTGAGTCTTCATAATTCTTCTTTACTTCCTCCCTTTCCTTTCTGTACCTTTCTTTGCGTAGCAAGTCCTCTTTCAGAGCCTCTCTTCTTCTCTCTTCATATTCTTTTTCCATTTTCTCCTTTTTCTCTCTGTATGTTCTTTGCTCCTCGATTTCTCTATTTCTCCTTTCTCGATCAGCATTTCTCTCCTGCTCATTTCCATTATGTTCGGTATTTCTGTACGGCTGAATTGTCCCTGAAACTTACTTCAATGTTGCTTTTGAATGTTGGTCTGGATCGTAGTACTGGAAAATCTCGAATTCTGTTTCGTATACTTGGATAACTCTCTAGATACCTCTCTGTAGACCTGGATATCTGTATCGGTGCTTGGCTAACACTCTCGATAACACTTCGTAGATATGGATATCTGGATCGCTGCTTGGTTAACACTCTGGATAACACTTCGTAGAACTGGATAACTCTCTGGATACGTCTTTGTAGATCTGGATAACTCTCTGGATATCTCTTTTGTTGATTCTCTCGTTCACTTTGAATTATCACTTTGTTTATCTGGAACTAGTTCTTGGTTCTGGATATATAAAACTTGGATGAACTTCAAAATAATTTTAAATATTTCACCGCTGCCACCAATTATGTTGTCGCCGTAAGAAACAACTAATAATATTATTTTTGTGAGTTGGTTACTCAACTGAGAACAAACTCTACTTTATTTATTTAACAAGCAAAGTACAAAAACTTGGAAATAATCAATCCTTCCAAAGCTTCACTGAGTCTTTTTGGAAGACAATATACTAACCGTGCTATCAGTTTGAGTAGCGACTAATTAATCTGACCACACCTGCTTATGCATTAGTTTTAAAGGACTGTGCAATAGTCCCCACTCTTTACAATACACACTCATACTTCATACTGTCGACACCTCCTCCCTTTAAACTATCGATGATTTTCAAATTAACATTTATTTAAAAATTCGATGCAGGTTTCCTTCTAGGAGGTTTCGAATGTAATTCAAAATTTAATCCTGGTAGATTTTTCTCAGTAGCTACAAACTGCGTTGGACCTGTGTTGTTAAAACTACGATTTGTATAACAGTTCCCAATACAATATCTAATTAAATTTAAAATACACTGTATAATTCCCGTTTTGAACATTATATAGAAGATTATAATTACAATACTTGCATATCCTATGTACTCTAAATACGTCAAAGACTTTTCTGTCCAACTCTTAAATCTTTCATGTGTCTTTAATTTATCTAGCATCGCTTCGATATCTTCCATACTAATTTTCGCTTCTTTTATTCTATCTAAATTAAGAAATCTTGGTAATTTTGGTAATTTATCATTAATTAATTTTAAATCGTCTTTCTCAAAATCTAATTCTATTGTGATTTTATCCTCAAAGTATCTACTTATATTTTTCATCGGTTTATTAAGATCTAGCTTTATTTCATTCGTATATAGCTTACATCTATTCCCTGTTATTAGATAAGTACCCAATTTTTTACCATTATTATTATTATTTTCGCATACTATATCTATAACTGTTTCTTTTACAAATATACATATATAACCTGTTTCTGTTTTCATAAATGTTTCATCGCTGAGTAGTAATGGAGATTTTAGACAATTTCTGTTAGACATTTTTATTAAATCCGCGTCACAATTTTCTGTTTGATATATTAAATAATTCGGTTGATTTCTCTTACAAATTTTATAGTCTTCTATATTACTACATTTTTCTAAATCTGTCTTGTCAATCGGTACGTATTCAGTTTTCGTTTGCAAAATATATTCGTGGTTTGCTAAAAACACCATAGCTTGACCATTAATTATTCGTTCTCGAATTGGTAAACTTCTTACTATTGTCATTTCTTTTTCATCTAAAATCGGAATTTTAATTATGTATACTAAGTGATGATTTTTTATAATTGTAGTAATTTCACTAATGTCTATAATATGTTGATAGTTTCTTTCATCGCTTTCGATGTGATATTTAGTCCTAAATTCCTTTTCAAATCCATCAATTGTTTCATGCAACATTCTAGGCGTTAAAATTTTGGGGGTTTATAATTCTATGCTTCCCTAAATTAATTGAACTTATTGCTAAATCTATGTCGTCGTTCATTTCTTCTATTAACGTTTCAGCTATTAATAATTTTTGTTGAATAAACAAACTCTTTTTGTTATTATTTATTTCTGCTTTCATTTGGTTTAGTATATCATAGTCTGCTACAAGTTTATTTTCTAAGAACTTATAATCTTGAGATGATGAATCTAAGATCATTTTTATTACTTTAGTATTGTTTTTAATTGCTTCATTTAAGACCTTCTTATCATTATATAATTGATCGAATTCTTTATTAATTATATTTAAATCTGAATCGCTTAATGTGCCAAATAATATTTTTGATGCGTCTCCTATTACATTTGAAAGTCCTCTTTTAACTCTTTGTTTACCCATTATGTTATATAATAGTGATTCCTTTTTTCTTAAACGACTAAATCTAGAAGAGATAGTTTTAATTTCGTAATTTTCTTGACATTTAGTCATGCAAAGATGACTAACCTGCGTTAACACTTTTTGAATAACAACTATTCTATCTTCGGTTCTTGTAATGTTTATCATAATCATCAATTTCCATTCCTCTGAATATAAATACACTTTTCCTATTTCTTCTTTATATATATTGCCTTTTAATTCCGTTATATTATAATCAGTTTACAAATGATAGATTTTCTTAAAAGAGTTAATTAAAAGTTTTTAGTATTTTTTTAATATGTTCAATGGGCGAAGCGATGATGAAACGATGTTTTAGACTTCAAGACCAGCATAGTGCCGACAAATCTTCTTTTGTTTATTCTTCTTCGTTTAGTTTTAAAAAGATTTTTTTAACCAATCATTAACTTTATTTTTCTGTGCGGCCTCTCGTCTGCTTAGTTCTTCGCGCCTCTCCTGATCGCGTCGCCTCCTCTCCTCGCGACGCAACTCCTCCTCGCGGCGATGCACCTCATCGCGCCGCCTCTCCTCCTCGCGCTTTTTTGAGTCTTCATAATTCTTCTTTACTTCCTCCCTTTCCTTTCTGTACCTTTCATCGCGTAGCAAGTCCTCTTTCAGAGCCTCTCTTCTTCTCTCTTCATATTCTTTTTCCATTTTCTCCTTTTTCTCTCTGTATGTTCTTTGCTCCTCTATTTCTCTATTTCTCCTTTCTCGATCAGCATTTCTCTCCTGCTCATTTCCATTATGTTCGGTATTTCTGTACGGCTGAATTGTCCCTGAAACTTACTTCAATGTTGCTTTTGAATGTTGGTCTGGATCGTAGTACTGGAAAATCTCGAATTCTGTTTCGTATACTTGGATAACTCTCTAGATACCTCTCTGTAGACCTGGATATCTGTATCGGTGCTTGGCTAACACTCTCGATAACACTTCGTAGATATGGATATCTGGATCGCTGCTTGGTTAACACTCTGGATAACACTTCGTAGAACTGGATAACTCTCTGGATACGTCTTTGTAGATCTGGATAACTCTCTGGATATCTCTTTTGTTGATTCTCTCGTTCACTTTGAATTATCACTTTGTTTATCTGGAACTAGTTCTTGGTTCTGGATATATAAAACTTGGATGAACTTCCAAATAATTTTAAATATTTCACCGCTGCCACCAATTATGTTGTCGCCGTAAGAAACAACTAATAATATTATTTTTGTGAGTTGGTTACTCAACTGAGATCAAACTCTACTTTATTTATTTAACAAGCAAAGTACAAAAACTTGGAAATAATCAATCCTTCCAAAGCTTCACTGAGTCTTTTTGGAAGACAATTTACTAACCGTGCTATCAGTTTGAGTAGCGACTAATTAATCTGACCACACCTGCTTATGCATTAGTTTTAAAGGACTGTGCAATAGTCCCCACTCTTTACAATACACACTCATACTTCATACTGTCGACACACTCAAAGAAAATATTTTTTTTTCATTTTTAATTAACAATTTCATTTTTGAATACCAAAGGATAAATATGCAATACCAAACGTCTGTGTCAGTCAGGGATTGTACGAAAAAAAGAAATTATGAAAAACGATAATTTATTTTGCAGCACTAAAAGAAAATATTTTTTTTTTCTATTTTTAATTAATTAACAATTTCAATTTTTAATACCAAACGATAAAAATACAATACCAAACGTCTGTGTCAGTCAGGGATTGTAGGAAAAAAGAAATTTTGAAAAACGATAATTTATTTTGTAGCACTCAAAAAAAATTTTTTTTTTCATTTTTAAGGGGGAAAACGCACCGAGAAACGCGAAAAAAAGCCATTTTTTTTAATTTTTTTTAAGGCAACCTTTTAATTCAATCAAAGCAATCTTTTTTTTACATGATAAAATACATTTTGAAGAATATATCATGAAATTTTTTATGAAAAAAATTAAAAATTCTCTGAGATATCCTCATGCTTGTCAAGTACTGCAAAAAACTATCGCTTTGCGGTACGCAGCCCTGCTTCATCTGTAATCATCCAAATCAAAAAAACCAAAAAGATTATTAATCTGGAGAGCATTATCTAGTCTTTTACGTACGGGATTTTGAAAATATCGATTTTTGACAAAATGGCGGACATTTTTATAAAAAAATCGATTTTTAAGGAAAAAAACGACCTTATTTCGTCGATTAAAAAAAAAATAAGCCACTAAAAAAAAAATCCGTACGTTAAAGACTAGATAATTATGTGTAGAATAAGCACAAAAAAAATCTTTGCAATCGGTTAATTAGTTTTCGAGAAATCTTGCGTACCGACTTCGAAAACATGATTTCGAGAAAAACGCGTTTGAAAGTTGAGTAATGAATAAATCACAAAATTCTTCAACTTACATAGAATCATCCATTCCAGGTCCATAAAATTCGTTACCGAAATGAAATATAGATGTCAGCGCCTTTTAGTAAACACAATAAAAGTGGTTTATTGGTGTTACAATAGGGGCCGACGGCGTATTACTACCTGAATTTCGTTCGGCCGCTCGGCGCTGTCTAGACTGCTGTACGACGCATTCCGCGCGCTTTTACTAGATCGGCTCTAACTTTGTTATTTATTCGAATTTTCGCATGCGGCTTTCACCACACATTCTTAAGATGTTAAGCTTGAAGAATAGTAAAAAAAAAATCGAAAATTTTGAAATTTCTCGGTGCGTTTGCCCCCTTAATTAATTAACAATTTCATTTTTGAATACCAAACGATGCAAATGCAAAACCAAACGTCTGTGTGAGTCAGGGATTGTAGGAAAAAAAGAAATTTTGAAAAACGATAATTTATTTTGTAGCACTCAAAGAATATTATTTTTTTATTTTTCATTTTTAATTAATTAACAATTTCATTTCTGAATACCAAACGATAAACATGCAATACCCAACGTCTATGTCAGTCAGGGATTGGAGGGAAAAAAGAAATGTTGAAAAACGATAATTTATTTTGCAGCACTCAAAAAAAAATTTTTTTGTCATTTTTAATTAACAATTTTGATATTTAATACCAAACGATGAAAATGGAATACTAAACTTCTGTGTCAGTCAGGGATTGTAGGAAAAAAGGAAATTTTGAAAAACGTTAATTTATTTTGCAGCACTAAAAGAAAATATTTTTTTTTTTCATTTTTAATTGACAAGTTCAATTTCTAATACCAAACGATGCAAATGCAATACCAAACGTCTGTGACAGTCAGGGATTGTAGGAAAAAAGGAAATTTTGAAAAACGGTAATTTATTTTGCAGTACTCAAAGAAAATATTTTTTTTTTCATTTTTAATTAATTAACAATTTCATTTTTGAATTATAAACCATGAAATTGCAATACCAATCGTCTGTGTCAGTCAGGGATTGCAGGAAAAAAAGGAATTTTGAAAAACGATAATTTATTTTGCAGTACTCAAAGAAAATATTTTTTTTTTCATTTTTAATTAATTAACAATTTCATTTTTGAATACCAAACGATGAAAATGCAATACCAAACGTCTGTGTCAGTCAGGGATTGTAGGGAAAGAAGAAATTTTAAAAAACGATAATTGCCTTTGGAGCACTCTATGAAAGTATCTTTTTATTTTTTTGAGAACTTAATGTGACGAAGTATACAAAAAAATTTTCTGTTATTAACAAAATTGAATTTATTTAATTTTTATCTATATACATCTATTTAATTTAACCAAATCGTTCTGCATTTAAATTTTGCCGGTAATTCAAAATGGCTGACCGTCATGCGCATGTGTAATATTGAATAGCATGACAGTCCCGTTCATCATTGTACGTTTATTTTTATATTTTATTTTAGTTTTTTTTTACTACCAAACATCAGAAAGTAGATACCAATCACTACCAAACAACTACCAAACATAATTTTGTTTGAATTTGTATCTTTTACGTTGCGTTACATTAATATTTTGTTGTAAAAAACTTTAATAAAAAATAATGAACATTAAGAGATTTATTTCAGAATATAGATAGTTTATATATATTTTAGAAAAAATTTAATGTTTGTGTTAATAATTTATTTTCTTGACTAAAATGGTCATGAAAGTCGAAAATGATCAAACTTTCGCAAATTTCAAGATTTAAATTCCAAGTTCCAGAAAAATGTAATTTTAGTACCCCAAAAAAGCTATTTTTTGAAAGCTAACATTTACTCCTTGCAAAATATACTAGAAACTTTAATTTTAAAATGCATTACTAGGGTAATAATATTATTTCTCAAAAGAAGCTATAGATCAAGGTTTGAAAATGAAACAAAAAAACTTATTTTCGCTGCCAAAAAAAAGCGCCAAGTGGATTTTTTTAATTTAACGGTTATTTTCATTCTGATACCACCTAGAAACATAATCCACCGGAAAATTTGAGTTACCAAAAAATTTTATTTAAATTCACTCCAGAGCACCGTGTCACACCTCTGGCAGCCAGTGAGGGCCAATCAGAGAGTCAGTAGATTTAAATTTGAATTTCTGTCTCTCTTACTCTTGTACGTGGTATATATATACCAATCGATTCGTTTTCATGCAAGGAATACAATTATTTCATATATAAGTAGTAGTAGTATTTGGTTTAACGTTGGCACTATGAAGGTATTGCACCATGCATATCCGGCCATAACCTGGTAGTTGAGAATGAGGCTTTAAATCTGTGAACAGAACAGAAAATAGGGCGCACGCGCCCGAGCATCCGCGAGACACGACCGGAAGGCTGGTGCCACTCCGGTCGAATCTCTCGGAAACACACTGATAGACTTAGGTATGGAGAGCGCGAAAATTTGAAAATAATATAAAAATGAAAAGTGAAATTAGAATTGAATATTACAGAGTTTTAAAAATCTAAAAACATGAGAAACGATTCTAGCGGAAGGGTTGGTGAGAAATATTTCATATATAACTAGCTAAATTAAACGCGCGCAAGCGCGCGAAATTAGGGGTGTAATTGTCTATTATAAAGAAATTAAAATTAATATTATCAATAATATTTTAAATTTATTTTAATATTACTACATTGTTAATAATTTTTTTTTTAATTTAATTTAATTTTTTTTTCCGAATTATCTTCTTTTTGTTCATTTATATTTATTTTTTTAATTCTTTCGATTCCTTTGCGTAAATACTCATTATCCACATTGTTTTTCAATTTTTTAATGTCGCTGACATTGTTGATTAAAATATAAGGAGGATCTGTAGAAAAACAACTTTATTTTTAATCAAAATTTTACATATTTAAATATATAAATTAAATTTTTTTTTATAAATCCATAACTTTTCAAACTCTTTTTAAAAAATTAATAAAAATTTATATTTAAATTTAATATAATTACCGTAAAATGGGGTAAAGTCGGCGTTTGCGGGTAAAGTCGGCCGGCGCTTTAAACACTTAAATATTGTATTTCATTTATTAATTTACATTAATTCTAACTACATTTTTAATAAAACTCGGATTTCTTCTGGAAAAAAGTAATAGTTAAACTTTAAAATGATTTAAAGCGCCGGCCGACTTTACCCTCAAACGCCGACTTTACCTCATTTTACGGTACTTACTTCCGAAATTAATTACTCCGCAAACTTCAATTTCATTTCCTTTTTGAATTTTATTTATTTCTTGTGGTGTGTAATTTTTCACTCTTATTTCAATTCTTTTTTTATTTTCGACTATTGTCGAACAGGCTTGTTTCTTGGATTCGGTGTTTAAATTTGCTTCCAAGAAGTTATTTCTTAAGAAACCTTTAATTTCTGAAATAAAAATTTTTTAATTAATAAATTAATATTAAATATATTATTTTTATATATAGATATTTTATATTTATAAATTAGTTATTTTTTATTATTATTTGGTTTTATTTATTTATTTTATTAATTTATTTATATTTAAATATACATATGTATGTATTATAATAATATTAATATATTAATTATTATTATCGATAATTATAATATTGTTAAAATATTTACTTATCATTGTACCAGCTGTCGCCGTCCCCAATGTTTCTAAATTATACAATTTATCAATTTCATCTTCAACTTTATTTGACTTTCTAACTCCCAAAATAGTAATTTTGGTGTTTGACTGAATTGCTAATTCGTAGGGCATATTCCCTTTTAGGATGGTTGAAGAATAAGTTAATTTTCTTGATGAGGCTGCATCAATATGGAGAATCTAGAAAAAATAATTAATTAATTTTTATTATTTTCATTATTATTATATTATATAAATTATTTATTTTTTTATTTATTCTTGTTTATTATTACAAAGTAGAAAATTAGAAAATTATTTATAATAATAATTATTGTGGTTGTCCCAGTTTCCGTCCAGCTAAGACCTAGTTTCCATCCACTTTTATTTTAATAATAACACTTTTAAAAAAATTATTTGGTTTAATTTATTTATGTTAACTTATAAAAAAATCCCATGCCAACAATAATAAAATACTGTTAAAAAGAATTTAAATTATTTTAGATGAAATTTATAAAAATGGACGGTAACTTGGACGTGGACAGTAATTTGGTCATCCACGGTATTTTAAGTAAAAACTTACCAAATTTGGACGAATGTATTCTTTTAGGCGATTGGTTTGTTCGTTCCATATTTTCAACATGATTTTTGATGATTCTCCATTACTTAAAATAGCTGTCTGTAGAAAGTAGTTTTTATCTTTTCCTACTACTTCTACAGCAGTCATTTGCTCCATAAAAACAATCAGTTCACTAGAAAAAATTAAAATTTTTAATAAATATATATTTAACAAAATTACATAAAAAAATATAAATTAATATTTAAAAATTTTTCAATTTAAATTAACATTAAAAATTTAATTATTTAATAAAGTTTATACTTACATGGTAGAGTCACATAACGAAATTTTTTTTAATTGTTCGTCACTAGAATATTTTAATTTTCCTGATTTACAGCTTTCAATTAATTGCTCCATATTTTTTTCACTTTTTTCACAAAATGAAATTAGAGAAACTAATTGTGTCCTAATTTTTTTCACTTTGTTTAAAATAATTGAACATCATTGCTATACATATAACGCGTTGTATATTCACTTTGTTCTTTTGTTTAATTTATTCTATTGATTTCTTAATTTTTAAATTTAAATTTCAAAAATTTTGTCTATTTAAAAAAAATAATCAATTAAATAACAAAATTAATAAATTTGTATATATTTTGATTAAATCATTAACATTATATAATATTCATTTCGTCATTTTCAGTAATATTTTTTTGACTAAAAAAAATGAAAAAAAATTAATTTTGACTTTTTTAAGGTGGCGGACCTGATTTTTTTTATTTTTATTTTTTTAAACGAAATCTCAGGTTTTTTCTTTCAGCACATATAAGTGAAAAAGTGGGACTATAATAATTAACCTATGAAAATTAGAGTTTAAAAAACCTGATTTTTTGCACCTATTTTACAAAAAAAAATAAAAACAACTGTTTGGTTTCTTTTAAATTATAATTTTCAATCATTTTTAAAAAATTATTTTTATAATATAAAAATTCAAAGTAAAAATTTATATAAAATATAAATATAAAAATAAATAAATTATAATTCATCTACTCATATTAATTAATTTCCTACATTATTTAAATGAAAATATTGTTGGATTGGATTCTTTAAACCATTTTATACCAAACTGTTCCAAATTGCGAACGTCTTTGTTTGTTACTTGGCAACTTAATAATTATTAGATATTTCATTTTAAAAAAATTAGTTAAAAAAATTATCACAGAAATAAAATTGATTATTATTTAATTTTGATAAAACTAATTTTAATAAAAAATGAGTGTGCATAAAATGTTTGAGGATGTGTAAGTAAAGTGTAACATTATCTTAAAAAATAGTTTTTAAATTGAAAATTGTTTATTTTTATATTATTTTTTAATTAAAAATATTTTTATTGGTTAGTTTTAGAATAAAGTAAAAAATTAATTCAAATTATAAAAGTCTATAAATAATTATTATTTAATTAATTTAAATATTTTATTTTTTTTATTGATGAAACAATTTTTTTGTGAATTTTTTAAAAATATTGACAGCGAAGTTTTTATAAATTGTGGCAATAATATTGAAATGTATTATTTAACAGTGATATAATAGGTTCTGTAGAAGAAATTGAAAGTTCATTTGATATAAAAGACTACAAATTGATGCGCTTCATTATGAAGACACATGATAATAAACGTGTTCAAGTTTCTGTCTGGAATAATATCATTCAACGAGTAGAACCTTTCTTAAAAATGAAAAATGTATGCATTTAATTTTTTTAATCATTATAATTACTAATAAATAAATAGATTTTTTATATTAAATAAAATAATAAAATATAATTTCTATTTTAAAAAGGTTATTCTAATTGAAGGTGCTAAGGCTGTAGAGAAAAATATAATACAAAGGGAGCAGATTTCCAATTAATGATTAATGAAAATACCAAGATAAAAGCTGCTACCGGGTATTATCGGTATTATTACAAATACGTACTTAAAAAATTAAATTAAATCAGTTAAAATTTCAACAATACTTTTTGTTTGCATATGTAGTATATTATTATAATATTAGTTTTGTTAATTATTGTATTTTATATTTTTATTACTTAAATTATAATATTGAAAAAATAAATTACAATTAATTAAATTAGCAATTTTATAATTTATATTTATATATTAAATAAAATAATAATTACATTATATCATTTTTAAATATAAATTATAATTATTTGAAACGAAATTTTTTTAAATTAAATATTTTTCTTTACGACTTCAAATATATTTAATAATTTATGGAACGGCATTTTATCTTTGTCCATAATTTGGATCCAATCTTCCCTTTCTGCCATCAAATAGATGATGTTTTCTTCTTCTAAACATAAATAATTTATAATTTACAATATATAATATTTTAACATTATATTTTCGCATAAAAAATATAAATAAAAATTTTTTTAAAAATTATTCTTACACCGCGGATCGATTTTAAAGCCCAAAAAAGCCGTTCTAGTCGATTAACATTAAAATAGAAGTCGACATAGTCGATGTTTTTATTTTTAATAAATTTAATAATGTATTATTTGTTAAAATTAGTTATTAATTCTTTATTTAGTATAATTACTTTCAAAATATTCTTAAAATTTTATTTATAAGAATAATATTTTAATAATTGAACAAAAACGTTTTCAAGATTTAAATTCCGTAGAAAATTTAAAAAATATTTTAATCCGTCTGATTTAAAAATAAAAATGCACTATTTGTAAATTTTTTCAATTAAAATTTTTTTTTTAAATATGTTTTTTTAATTAAAAAATGTTTTAAGTAATTTTCAAATAATAAGTGTATTAAAATATTATGACAATTATTTTTGGAAAAAAGTTAAGAAATAATTTAATTTTGAATAGTTGCAATTAATATTTTCAAAAATAATTTAATTTTTCAAAATTTCAAAATGGAAATTTTTGAAAATTTCAATTTTTTAAAATTGTTCATAATTTAATAAAATAATTATATTATAGAGCACTTTTAATTTAGAAATATTTAAAAAACTTGATCAAAATAAATGATTATTTCAGTTACAAATTTTTAAAAAATATTCTAGAAATAATTGAATTGATACTTTTTAATTGAAATTTTTGTAAATCATAATTGCTTAAAATTATTTACAAAATTTTTTAAAAATAATTAAATTTAAAAAACTTGTTCTTATTAAATAATGTTTAAGGGAATTAAATTTTTAAAAAACAATTAAAATCAAAATTAAAATTGACTAAAAAAACAAAATTAAGTAAATTAAAAGTGTCCTTACTTGTAAATTTGATATGTCCTTGGATCTCTACATGGTCACCTTTACTTAAAAATTCATAATTTTCATCATCAGGAAAATTTTGAATCCGCACCTCAATCTTCTTTTTTCCATTAGTAATGGACCCACATCCATACGAAATTACATTTTTCCCAATTTTATATTTTAAAAATCGAAATGCGGATTTAACGAAACCTTGTAATTCTAAAAATAAGATAATATATATTATTATAAATAATATAAATATATTTACTTTTAAAATAATAGTAACAAAAATTATAATTACTAATCAATCCTTGTTCCGTTTTCAAGTCTTCAAATTCGATTAATTTTAAATTATTTTGAAAATTAATGTTTTTAACATTTTCCATTTTTAATAAATTTAGTTTGGTGTGTGGTTTTATCAATAATTGATAATTAAGGGTACTATTGTTCCATCGGTTATTTTTGAATTTGCTGGCTACAGCTCCTTCGATATGAATAACCTAATAATAGTAATAAAAATAAAAGAATCAATAATATAAATAAATAATTTCTTTTTTGTTTAAAATGATTTCTTTTTAATTAAATATTTTTTAAAATAACTATTATGATAAAAATGAATTTTTTAAAAAAATTATACACATATACCATATTTACTCGAAGATCAGGTTCAATTCGATCAATTTCGTCACCCCACACTGAGACAATGCATCGAGTTCCTTCGCTATTATTTAGCATAAATGACATTACGCGGTACAAAATTTCTTCATCATTTTTTTTATTTTGAGATTTTACTGTTTTTGAAGCCTGAATACTGTCAACAAACGCTATGACCTCGCTATATAATGATAAATAAATCTATTAAATATGTTAAAAAAGTTGAATTAATTACTTAACTAATTAGTTAATTGTAAAACTGTAATATATATGAGCGATTTCACGTGAGATTTCCGTCGACCCTTTAAATTCGACCAAATATATTTTTTCTTGTTCTGTAGTGAAAAAAAGATACGTATTTTTTTTTCTGAAAAATTTTTGAATTATGAATTTTCAAAATTTCAGTTTGAAAATAGGTCTACATTGGAAAAACTAAAATTTTTAAAATTCATAACTCGAAAATTTAAAAAAAAAAAAAAAAAAAATACGTGTCTTTTTTTCAATACAGAACAAAAAAAAATAATGGACGAATTTAAAGGGTCGACGGAAATCTCACGTGAAATCGGCCATATATATATATATTTATATATATAAAATTAAAAAAAAATTTAATTAAATTTTTCTTACACATTAAAATCGTTTATTTCGATGGCATGAAATTCCTCATTACTTGTATATGAAATTTCGTTTCCATTTCCATTCATTACTTCCGTTTGCATTGGTTCTAAAATTTGTGGTTGTTTCGGAATTTGTGTTGATTCTGGATCTTCGAAGCTCCTTTCTGCTTCTTCGAGAAAATTGTTATCACTAAAAATTTTGTTAAATTATTATTTTAAATTGGGAACTTCGTATATTTTTAATACAAAATTTTTTAATACTTAAAAAAATGAAAAATTACATTACATAATAATAATTGTTATAAAAGATTATTTAATAATAATTTACCTTTCAAGTATTTTTGTAACATATTCTTCGAATTTATCGTTAGAAGTTTCGGAATTTTTTCCAGCGTCACTCATTGTGAAAATCAAGGTGATAATTAACTGCAATTCCTGATCAAACAAATAGTATTACTTAGCAACATAAAAAAACAAATGAATGTTGAATATTAAGGCTACTTGCGTTTGAAAAAAAAATTTTCGATTTTTTTAAAAATTTTTTTAAACTTTATAATGCAAAAATACGTGTGTAAAATATTATGAAGAAATTTTACTAAATAATAATTTATTACGTTCGATTATACACTGAAAAAAATTTATTTGATTCAAATACTCGATTACTTGACTATTATCAAATAAATAATATTCATTTGTATCAAATAATTATTATTCGAACCAATTAAATTGTATTTGTTTCAAATATAGAAATTATTGGTTCAAATACAATTTATTTAATTCAAATAAAAATTATTTGGTTCAAATAAATATTTATTTGATAATAGTCAAGTAATCGAGTATTTGAATCAAATAATTTTTTTTTTTCAATGTAGATTTCAATTTATTTAATAGTCTATTTTATACATAATTCAAAATTATTTAAATAATCTTTTTTCGAACTCGATTAGTTATTTTTTGGAAATTATTATGTAGTCTAAATTTTTGATTTAATGATATAAATAATAATAATCCGAGATTTATATATTTTTTATTTAAACAATTTTAAATATTAACGAACATTTTAATTAATTTTTAATTAATTTTAATTTAATTTTAATTTTTTTTTAGTTTTAGTTTAATTTAATTAAACTAAAATTTTTTAGTTTCTGATGAAAACGATGGATTTCTATAGCATAAAATCAAAATTATGTCTATCTTGGGACCCTCTCCCCTAGGTATTATTTGTAATTAGTTTATTAACAAACATCTTGAATTGTTTGTTTACTTTGATTTCCATACACTGCAAAAATTCATTTGATATAATTAATTCAAATTATTTAAAAAATATTAACTTAGTTCAAATATTTTTTATTTGGTCGTAAAAAATATGTGTTTGTTTCAAATAACTTGTTTTATTTGAATCATAATTATTTAAATCAAAGAAATTTTAACTGAATGAAATAAATAATTAATTGGTTCTATTAAATGATTTTATCTGATACAAATAATAAAATATTTCAATTTCAATTTCAATTTCATTTATTAACGGGACATGCCCTTTCGTACAAAAGTACTCCTAAATTCTAATAGTTACGTAAGTAACAATACAAAAATATAAAATATTAACTAAATCTAGGTAGGCGCTATAATGGTTAAAGTTCAGTATAAGTTTATACAGTAAAGAATAACATAAATCAAATTACATTATTATCAAAGGAGAAGATTAATTTTTGATAAATTGAATCTGCTTTACCATTATATCAATTAATTTCAAAAATAATTGTTATTGTTCAATAATACTGATTTTCTCTAAATCACAATGTCTACATTTAGTTCTGTATGTATTTCCTTAAATCACTTTCATAGATAGAAATAAAATAAGTTTATCTCAAGGAAGGGACACAACCTTGGGCACCAAGTGGGGAAATTACTACAGATTCTCCTTACACGCATCTATTTGGACTGTAAGAGTGGATGTGCGTTTTGTAGGGGGGATTTTAATTATGGTAATTATGGTATATTTAAAACAATTAGTTTTTTACAGGGATGGCAACCGAAATTTTTTCAGTTTCGGTATTGCGGTTTCTGTTTTTTCTTAAAAGATTATGGTTTCGCTATTTCGGTTTGGGTTTTTAATGTCAAAAATTTCGGTGTTTCGGTTTCGGTTTTTCGATTGTTTCCCTCTAGTAATAATATGAATGAAAATATTTATGGATTTGAATTATTTAGAACAAAATAAATGTATTATAATTACTCATTATTTATTTAATGTAGAATTTTCAAAACAGAAATAATTATTTTTTGAAATTTTATATTAAGGGGAGGGACCGCTGAAATTTCAACCTTTCAAAATTGAGGCTGTTTCAGGTTGTCAATTTTTTTTCTAGTTAATATATTGAGTATTTAAAACTGTAATATACTGTAGGAAATTGATAAACAATTAACTTACTAATTTTTAAAATAAAACTCGAAATTTTCAATAACTAAAAATTTAAACTTCTGTCACAATTTTTATTATTTTTTATTGCTGATTTTTTTATACAGTTTTTTCAAGATTCTGAACAATCAATCGTATGGATTTTGAAAAAATTCAATTTTTGAAAACTAAAAAATGCAAAATTTGTTAAAAATAACTTTTTTTCATTTTTCATAGTGAAATATGATTTCAGGTTCTAAAAAAATTTGTAAAAAAAATTGTTATCTCTAAACCAAACAATTATGTTTGGTTTCAATTTGATCAATTATTCCTTAAAAATTCAACTTCTTTTACAATTTTTATTATTTTTTATTGGTAATTTTTTGTAGGCTTTTTTCATGATTCTGAACAATCAATTGTATGAATTTTTAAAAATTTTAATATTTTCAAAAAATAAAATTTTCAAAATAGTAAAAAAAATATTTTTTTAATTTTGATAATTCACAATAATTTTAGGTCCAAAATAATGCCAGAAAAAAAATTGACACTCTTTATCAACATTAATTTCGATGAAAATCATTTTCCATGGACTTTCAGAAATTTAAGATTTCAATTTTTTTCAAAAAAATAATTGACACTCTTTATCAACATTAATTTCGATGAAAATCATTTTCCATGGACTTTCAGAAATTTAAGATTTCAATTTTTTAGAAATTCTTTTTTGTGAAGAGAAGTAAGATATCAAAACATTTTTGATTAAATTTTCTTCGATTTGTTCTACCCGAATATTAAAAACCGAAAAAAACGAAAAAATAAAATTTAGGTTTCGAAATAACGGTTTTTAAAGTTTTATAATAAGGGTTTCGATTTTCTGTTTTCGGTTTCTTAAAAATTTCTGTTTTTTCGGTTATCGGTTATGGTTTTCGGTTTCGGTTGTCATCTCTGGATTTTTATTTTACTACTACTTTTTACTACTACTTTTTACTAAAATACTTTATTTTTTAATACAAATAAAACTCATTTAACACAATCAATTTATTCTAATAATTCAAGTAAATAAAAATTTTTGACACAAATAATATATTGCTTAATATTAATACATTAATTTATGAAATTAAATAAATTAAAAAATTTTCAATTAAATAAATATTTAATTGAATCAAAAACAGTGAGTTATTTAAAACTATTAATTTATTTATTTTTCTCAAATAAATATACCTATATATTTTTTAAATAAAAATTACTTGCCACAGTGAATTTATTTTATCGATTCAAATAAACTAAATTATTCCCTAAGTAGCACGTTTTATTGCCTTAATGTCAAGGTAATATTACATTTAAAATTCGTAAGATCAGCTGTAATATTACAGTAATCTTACAGTAATTTTAAAATATCCACCTTACACTGAAAAAAAATTTATTTGATTCAAATACTTCAAATTATTTGAAAAATATTTAATTGGTTCAAATACTTTTTATTTGGATAAAAAAAATACGTATTTGATTCAGATAACTTGAATTATTTGAATAGCATTTATTTAAACCAAATAAATCGTATTTGGTTCAATTAAATAATTAATTGAATTGAATAAATGAATTTATTTAATACAAATAATAAGTTACTTGAAACTATTCATTCATTTATTTCACTCAAATATTTCGTTTATTTGATACTAATAAAAAGTATTTGACACAATAAATTTATGTAATTGATTCAAATAAACTGAATTATTTAATACAAATAATTCGTTATTTAATGCTAATATACTATTTTATCAAGACAAATAAAAAAATATTTCAATCAATTAAATATTTATGTGAAACTATAATATGATTTACTTGAAACAATTAATTTATTTATTTCACTCAAATATTTCATTTTATTTAAACAAAAAAAAGTATTTGATACAATAACTTTATTTAACTGATTCAAGTCAACTAAATTATTTAATACTAATACACTATTTAATGAAGACAAATTAAAAATAATTAACTATAATAATTTCCGTATTCATTCATTCATTCCGTCTGTCCACACTTGAAGTTAGTCGTATTTTGTTCCTTTTGTTTTTCTAAAATTTTGACAATTCTTGATTTCGTAATATTTTATGGTTAACACGACGGATATTTTTATTCATCGTCATTAATTAAGTCATATACTAAGTGACAGTTTAAAGTAAAAAAAAATATTGTTCATTGTGTGCAGCACCAGTATATTTCCTACTTGGTATTTATAGAAAAAAAAGTTTCAATTATAATATAATTTTTATTATTATTTATAAATTTATTATATTATATATACATTTTTTTAAATATAATGATTATTACAGATAATTAGAACATTTTAACTTATAATTATTATTTATCTTTCATTATTTTTTCATTATTCATTATTATTTATTATATATTATTATTCATAAATTTATTATTATTAATTATTAAATTGTTATATTTTTTTATCTATAAACAATATAAAAATAGTTTGCTTTTTTAAAAAATTTTCTATTTGATTTTAATTTTTAATTTAAGTTTAAAGTTTAAAACATTACAAATTTTTTTTAGGTTTTATTTTTTCAAAATTTTTAAATATTTTTTAATTGCTTAATACTTTTTAAAATATAATTAATAATTTTCAGTTAATTTAAACTTCTTTTTGATTACATAATTTTTTAATATTTATTAATTATCAGTTAATTAAATTTTTTGAAAAAAAACATAAATTTAAAATTTTCATTTGCAACGAAATATTTATCGAAAATACAAAAAAATATTTAGCATAATTAATTTTTTGTAATTTAAAAGATTATAAAAAATTCATCGAACATTGACTTTATCAAAAATATTTATTTCTAAAATTTTAATATTTATATTTTAAAATTTTTACTTAAATTTATTTATTTATATAACATCAAACTCATTTTTTTCTGTGTATAAATAAATGATAACGTGAAAATTAGAAATATACCTATTATTAATTCAATACTCCACTGATGCAGAATTATTATTATTATTATTATTAATATTATTATTTTAAAATAAC